AATCCTCTATCCATGTTGGCAGTGACGCCAGTGAGATACCTGAAGAAACTTATCCACTTCTGGAGGACTGTGAACTACTTATCATGGTATACACCATCTCTCTCTGGGGTATGCACACTCACACACACAGTATTGTTCTTCTATCTTCATTTCAATTGTGTTTCTTAAGAGACATTACTGTTTTAATTCCTAATCTTATTTGGTACGTAATTGAAAATAATTTCTCCAAGATGCCTTAAGGCCTGGTCCATTTTCAGCAACACATTTTGGACTATCAAGGGTATAGTCTTTTGCTACTTCTGATAACAAACTTGCAAAACTAAAAGTTATGAATTTATTCTTGTTAATTTCATCTCAGGCTTTGGAAGAAGTGCAGAAGATAAAGCCCAAGGGAACACTTTTTACTGGTATGTTCAAGCCTCATGCTGTTGTTTCCGTGTTTCAATGAAATTTTCTTTCATATAATTCCACCATCCAAAAGTGTTTTATTATCTTTACGCCGGAATCTTGTTATGTTTGATAATCATTCTACATATTTGCACGTGTAAATATATAATCAATGAAGCAACATGCTTGTTATTTTGTACTTTTGTGAAGGTATGATGCATCTGATGGATCACGAAAAAGTAAATGAATGCACCTTATAAAATTGATGGATACAGAGGGTCTTGATGTGCAACTGAACCATGATGGATTGCGTATACCAGTTAAACTCTAGCATCATGTTAACTTGCGCGTGCCCATTCTTTTGCATGAAAGCTTTATGACTTTAGCATCAATTCAAATGTTGTATTTCAACGTATCAAAGGTGATATAACATTGGAAGGATCATTATCCACAGAGGAGTACATGATTCTTATGATTTGTAGATATTCATGGAAGTTTATCATTTTTCCCATGTTATTTACGTAGATAAATTCCAGAAAAAAGCCATATTCATATTTGTATATGAAGTTGTTTAGAGAAGAAGACATTGACCTATGTTTGTGTGTTAACCAAAACATAGAGCTGTATCTCAATTATTTGGTTCCTCAACGACCAAAGCATATCAAACAGACTTTATTGGAAGATTGGATCGTCGGTTTTGAGCTTTGAATTGTTGAACCCTGAAATCGTCGTGGGGATCAACCCAAGTTTTTGATAATGACAAGTTGTGATTTCAGCTTAGGGAAAACGTATGAAATAGGGCAGTGCAAAACTTCAATAGAGTATATTATGGTTAAGGGTAATTACAAATTTACAAATCTTTTTGTTGGTTCTGCAAAATAATTAGAGAGTATAAAAGGGTTGGACTGATCTGACGTTTCTTGAAGACTTCTGGTCGGAAGATTTCTTTTCTTTTCTTTCTTTGTTATTTTTATTTTTATTTCCGAAGTGCATGAAAGAATTCTGATGTTAGGTGGAAACAAGAAATAAGAGAAGGTAGTATTTCACCAAAAAAGAAAAAAAGAGAAAGGAGAAAAGAAAAGTTAGTAGCTTGTGCTAGCTACTAGGCAGTTGGGTGATTTTAGGGAAACGCAGGGTAGGGAAGGGAAAACATTTGTCTGCAAGATCTAATTATTAATCTCAAATATACATGTAGAAATTATATAGAACTATGAATTTATAAAGGATTAGTGTTTATTTTGTTTTATCTTTAAAAAATTAAGAGAAAAAAATGATAAAAAACACTTTAATTTATGTTTTAAAAATAAAATATTTTAATCTTTTTCAATTGATGTTTATTAAAATAACGTAATTTT